TCTCTCTATGGAAGAGCTATAAACGCTTGTATCCACAATGGGATATAAAAAAAAAAAAAAGGCAAATCAGACTTTTTATCTCATAGTTCTGACTGATTGTGAGTTTGTACTTGTACTGCAATTCTGACTTTATTTCTTCTGAGATATAAACAAAGAAATGCATGGGAAATTGTCAGAAATGTGAGATATTTCACAATTTGTATTTCTCAGAATTGTGATATATAAACTGCAAGAAAAAAGAGCATTTACCAATTAGATTTTTTGTTCATGGCTTCAACAAGCTTCTCTCTCTCTCTCTCTCTCTCTCTCTCTCTCTCTCTCTCTCTCTCTCTCTCTCTCTCTCTCTCTCTCTCTCTCTCTCTCTCTCTCTCTCTCTCTCTCTCTCTTTCTCTCTCTCTCTCTCTCTCTCTCTCTCTCTCTGTATGTCTGTCTGTCTATCTACAGTATCATTTAGGAGTACAGATGACATAATGATGTCTTCAAAGCTCTACTGCTGTATTGTACTGCTTATTTTCATTTATTAAACATGCTGATTGAATCATTAATTAGTTTAATTGGTTATAAATTGATATGATTTGAGCTTGTGCACAGCAATGAGTTGATGAAATGGGTCTTTGTAGCTATAAATGTAAGAATTGATGTGTTATCTATAAGTGGACAGCCAACACTAGCAAACTCAAGAGTAAGAAGCTTCATGTGTAGCATATACACAAAAAGTTGTTTTTCTAGATCAATACACTGTATTCTGTGTTCTGCCACTTAGCATCATTACCTGTAATACATTCAGCCGTCCTTTTCATCTCACTGTCATAAGCAAAGCTGCTTTTATTTAAGCTGAGTTGCGTGTGCTCCACTTTAACATTAATTCAATATGCTTGAAATGTGCTTCAGAATGTGCAAGCCTGGAGGTGTAGTCGACATTCCAACGGTGAAACGAAACGAGTTTGTTTTAAAAAAAAAAAAGAAAAATGAGAAAACAAGATCCTGCACCTCTGACAGTTTCTATCGCGTTTGTTCTTTTTCATTCGAAATCCCACTGGCAGTTTGAGCGAAGTGCACTATATTTTTACGAAGCAGCATTTACTCATGTACGAGAAAGCATAAATCATGCCTCCTGTATCATTAATAAACATAGATGTCAATAGGAAACGCATGACTGGAAGATATATGACTGTGCACAATAAAGGCCGAATTGAAAAATATGCTGCTTCTGTCGATGCTATAGTTTGGAGGATGAGAGACTGTGCTGTTGCTCTTGGATCTGTGCTGCCCTCTAGTGCCAGTGTGGGGACTGTAAAGAACCAGCTTGATGTCAGTGAAAACCTCAAGCTCCTGGGAACAGCACAGAGCTTATGATGCACCAGATGTCACTCAAATGTGACAGGAAATGACATCACAAATCAGTTTGTTTTATCTTAATCTTCTTTTCTTGTATTTGAATCACGTATTTGATCATTTTTAAATATATAGTTCATATGTATTCAATATATATCTTAAATCTTAACATTTTATCCTCGCCTTAATTTTAATTACTATTAATTATCTACCTGTATTTCAGTCTTAAGTTGACAGAAAATACATCACAAATTGTTTTGTTTTTATCTTAATTTTAGTTGCTTGTAGATTTATCACATCATTTATAATTGTTTATGTATGTATTGTAATTCATATTTTGTATTCACCTTACATTATACTTCACCTTACATCTAAAGTCTCTTATGCTCATCAAGCCTGCATTTATTAGATCAAAAATACAGAAAAGTTTTTTAATATTGTGAAATGTTATATAAAATAATGTTTTTTATTATTTAATATACTTTAAAATGTAATTTATTCCTGTGATTAAGCTGAATTTCCAGCGTCATTACTCCAGCGTCATTACTAAACAGTTGAGCTGCTTAATATTTTTTTATAACCTATGATACTTTTTTCAGTATTATTTTATGAATAAAAAGAACAGCATTTATTTAAAAAAGAAATCTTTTGTAACATTTTATATCACTTTTGTTTATTTTACATATGCATATGATTACATATGTTATTGCTTGTTTCTGCTTCTTTGCATGTGTTTTGATCAGGAGATTATTCCGTAATCTTTGAGAAGATGTGTAATAGCGCCACGTTCCGTATAACAGTGAAAACACAAAAAGCTGGAAATTTCCGTCAATGGCGGGTAAAGAGTTAATAGATGTAATATAGCATATTCCACGCTAAATCGCACGCATAAAGCTTACCGCAAAGCACCAGCAAAAGTAATAATTTTGAATGTGTCGGGGAAAAAATATCAAGAAGATATTTTCATTATTTATTATAAGCTAGTGTTTTCCGAGTCAGTTTCAGCTGCAAAGACGAATTTGTCGATGCTGACTCGCCATATCTGTAACTGTAACTAATACAATTTCGTTCGACTAAGCCTGTTCTAGTCGACTAACGTTTAGTTGACTATTAGGGGACAGCCCTAGTCTGTATACATGTCATGCTTTTTCCTCTCCACATCCTGCTAGAGTTGTACATTAATGTGTAATCTGCAGTAGTTCAGATGGGGATTGATGGGGAACGCGCAACAGATGTAGACATTCTGCAGTCATGGTAAATACCTGGCAGTCCCAGTATCAGCAGCTGGACATTACAGACACTTTCTCTCTCTGTCTCCATGCAGTCTGTCAGATCGACTAACAGACCCTACACTCATCTGCTGTGTGAGTGGGAATCTGCCGTTCCAGGGTCACATGCTGGAGTCTCTGGCACCGCGCGCCCCTTTATTGTGTCAGCAACACCCAAGCCAGGTGTATTTTCTTTTCCTTTTGTTTTGGCGTGGATTTATTTATATCTCAAGTTGACAATGAGACACTAGCTGTATGCGATATCTCAGGATGTAAAGATGTGGATGTGCCATCTGGCTGCTCAGGTGGGCTTGTACCTGTTGGAGGAGGAGGAGGAGGCGTCTTGCCTGTCTGTCAGTCTCGGCCTCTATCTATTTCTGTCTCTGTCTTTTCACCTCTCCTCTCTGTCAGACTTTGGGTTGATCATTGATTTTTTTGTTCTTTTCATGTATGTGTGGCTGGGTCTCAGTCTGCTCACTAGTAAGTGCAGGGAATCAGCCTTTCTGAGGGCTGTCAGAATTGTTGCATTTCCTGTATCCACTGCAAAATCTATTTAATTATCGAAAATGTTGTCTTAAATCTCTGAAGGCATCAAAGTCTATTTGTGTTTTGTTTATTATGTATTATATATGAATTGGAGTTAAATAATATAATATTTAAATATTAAAATGTATAATGTTTATTTTTTATGTTATTTTACTTATCTATTATTGTTGTTATTATTACATTTTACTGACAATCTGTGCTTAATGCAGAATAAACAGTTCATAATGTTAACAATTTAATATAATAACAAGGTTTTCAATATATGTATTTTGATTATTATTATCATCAATAATGATAGTTATCATAATTATAATAATAACTACGTTTTACTCTACATGTAGGAAAAACCTAATTTATTTTTTAATGCATTATTATTATTATTTATAATTTTACATAATTTTGTGGGTCTAAAAATTCAGGATAAACAGTTAATAATGGCTTCTTTTTTTTTTTTTTACATGCTATTGTTATCATCATCGTTATCATTATTATAAATAATAATAATAATACATTCCATTACCACTTTTCATTTTATTTATTTTATCCAATTATTATTATTCATTATACTGAAAAAAATTAATTGTAAAATTTTTACGTGTTTTACATTATTATTAGTATTATTAGTATTATTATTATTACATTCCATGACCCTTTGTAATGCTGGATCAACACAGTTCGTAGTGATATTTTTTATATACATTATTATTATTAGTATTAGTATTATTCTTGTCATTATTATTATTATTATTATATTTATAATTTCACAATTTCTGCTTAAAATGCAGGATGAACACAGTTAATAATGTCACAGTGCTTTTAAAATACCTAAAATGACATTGCATAATGCTGTTATAGTGTGAAATTACAAAGTACAAGCTATATGTGATGTGTGACCTCAGATGATTGAGTTATTAGCATCCCAATGTTCAGAAGACATTGCTATTGCCTAAATTCTTATTCCGAATATACGGTATATACAATTAGACGGTAAGGTGGGTAACAGCATTTTTCGATAATAATCTGCCAATATCTCTCTAATCCTCAGACATGTAAACATCATTACCAGCAGTCACTCCCACAGATTAGCACAGATTGAGTAAACATGCCAAATTAATCTGATCTGTTGGCATGCTAATTTGACTGAAATGAATTAACATTGAGTTATTTAAATTCTTCCCTTGTAAGAGTAACACAATCATGAGCTGTGCTATGACTGTGTGTGTGTGTGTTTGCACAGTTTAATATCCCTTTGATTGCTACTATACATTTATGTAAATTATTGTCAGATCGTGTTGAAGTATAATCTGCTTATTTTCTTTTGAGGAATTATGGTCATTATATAGCATTGTTAGCACAGCTGATACCGTGCGAGACTCAAATATCCAGCTTCTCTTTAGGTGGGCTGCTCATTTCAGGACTTAAGCACCCCAAATCTCTTTTCCAACCCCATGAAGGTTTTAGCACACTAGTGTTAATAGCCGATTTGGCAGCTGTTCTTCATTCATGTGAGCTTTGGGTTTTCTCCAGTCATGGAAAGCCTGGAAATATTGGAAATGTTATATCATTTTATAAATAATAGAAATTGCCATGAATTTCCCATGATCTTTCAGCATGAATATGAGCTTTCCTAGTATCCTAAACTCTAAAATGTTGAATTGCATTGAAATCGATTGTTTTTTTGTATGTTTTTTACATTATCCAGTAATAATAGACATGTGCTGGTTAAAATATGCAAGAACCCTGAAGGTTTTTCTTTCTTGCCTTTTTATCTTCTTAAATTTTGCATTTGCCAAGACAGGCTACGTTTCTATCTCAATAAAGCATCTTTTTCACTTCTATTTCCGCATTCAGGTAGAGGCCATCTTGGTAAACATCTTCGGAGGGATTGTTAACTGTGCCATCATTGCTAACGGCATCACCAAGGCCTGCCGAGAACTGGAGCTCAAGGTTCCCCTGGTGGTCAGACTCGAAGGTGGGTGTGGCCAAACAATATTTGCCATTTTTGGAATCAAAGGTTCCAATTTACCTTTTAATTTTTCAAATGTGCTCAGTAAAACCCTTTAACAAAAGCCATGTCTGTCAAGTGAAGAGTTTGTTGGTGTTGGTTAGCAAGCGCGTCACGACACAGCAGTTGTTGGTGGCTGTGAGAGGAGCAGAGGGGCCAGGCGTTGATTGCGGGACCTCTCACCTGTGTATGCTAATGCTACTTGCTCGTGTGACACCGGGTCCGGCCTGATCCCATCTGGCCATTAGGATAATTGGCAGAAAACAGCTGAGTCGTTTTGCCCAGAGAGAGTCATATACTCCACTCCATTAGTTTTCTGCCCCTCGTTTGTCCATGCCGTAGCCTGTCCTTCTGAGGATCGCTTAAATATAGGACAAGAGCAGCATGAAGATAGTTAGCTAAATTAAATACGCATTATATTTAATTTTCTGATAATATTTGCACTTTTAATGTCGCCAAACCTGATGGCGATTTGCCTGATACATCATTGAACACAGTTTAAATGGTTAAAGAAACCGTTCACCCATTCTGTCATCATTTACTCCTGTCATTTCAAACCTGTATGACTTTCTGTCTGAAGGTGCAGGCACATTTATCGTCGTTTGGCGAATTTTTGCATGGCAAAATCCAGTCATTTCAGGCGCTCTGGAATTCAATGGGAGGGTGAAAAATCTCTCCATGCAGATTTCACAACAGGTTCAAGTTGGTCACGTGATTTCGACACCTCATGTCGAATTACAGTAGTTATGGTGTGAAAGTAGCATAAGCTCGTTGTTTTGTTTCTGGAAGAACTGTAAAAGGGGGTTGCTGTTTCGGTTCCTGTGCTCTGTGACTGACGTCTGTCTAACTCGGCATAGCCTGAAACGCACTGATGACGTGTGATGTCTGCGCGTGCGCGGAGGTATAGAAATGCATACATTGACAGGCAGGTAGAACATCGTATCATTGCATTCGGACCGGATGCAATGATTGGACGGGCATTTTATGGTCCTACCCCTTCCACAGAAGATATACACTCACCGGCCACTTTATTAGGTACCCCATGCTAGTAACGGGTTGGACCCCCTTTTGCCTTCAGAACTGCCTCAATTCTTCGTGGCATAGATTCAACAAGGTGCTGGAAGCATTCCTCAGGGAGTTTGGTCCATATTGACATGATGGCATCACACAGTTGCCGCAGATTTGTCGGCTGCACATCCATGATGCGAATCTCCCGTTCCACCACATCCCAAAGATGCTCTATTGGGTTGAGATCTGGTGACTGTGGAGGCCATTTTAGTACAGTGAACTCATTGTCATGTTCAAGAAACCAATTTGAAATGATTAGAGCTTTGTGACATGGTGGAAGTAGCCATCAGAGGATGGGTACATGGTGGCCATAAAGGGATGGACATGGTCAGAAACAATGCTCAGGTAGGCCGTGGCATTTAAACGATGCCCAATTGGCACTAAGGGGCCTAAAGTGTGCCAGGAAAACATCCCCCACACCATTACACCACCACCACCAGCCTGCACAGTGGTAACAAGGCATGATGGTTCCATGTTCTCATTCTGTTTACGCCAAATTCTGACTCTAACATCTGAATGTCTCAACAGAAATCGAGACTCATCAGACCAGGCAACATTTTTCCAGTCTTCAACTGTTCAATTTTGGTGAGCTCTTGCAAATTGTAGCCTCTTTTTCCTATTTGTAGTGGAGATGAGTGGTACCCGGTGGAGTCTTCTGCTGTTGTAGCCCATCCGCCTCAAGGTTGTGCGTGTTGTGGCTTCACAAATGCTTTGCTGCATACCTCGGTTGTAACAAGTGGTTATTTCAGTCACTGTTGCCCTTCTATCAGCTCGAACCAGTCTGGCCATTCTCCTCTGACCTCTGGCATCAACAAGGCATTTCCGCCCACAGAACTGCCGCTCACTGGATGTTTTTTCTTTTTCGGACCATTCTCTGTAAACCCTAGAGATGGTTGTGCGTGAAAATCCCAGTAGATTAACAGTTTCTGAAATACTCAGACCAGCCCTTCTGGCACCAACAATCATGCCACGTTCAAAGTCACTCAAATCACCTTTCTTCCCCATACTGATGCTCGGTTTGAACTGCAGGAGATTGTCTTGACCATGTCTACATGCCTAAATGCACGTAGTTGCCGCCATGTGATTGGCTGCTTAGAAATTAAGTGTTAACGAGCAGTTGGACAGGTGTACCTAATAAAGTGGCCGGTGAGTGTATATACAAATAAATAAATTTAGACCACTCAGGGATTGCTATCAGGATGTGAAGTCTTTCAACCAGCATATCAAAAAAATGTTTCCTAAACAAATCGCCTACCCTGCCTTAAGCATGAGGGTGATTAAATGTAGCCTTTGTAAGAAAAATATAAAGCAAAACATTAAATGTGCAAAAAAAAAGATATATATATACTCTTCAACTGTGAGTGACGGAATCTAAAACAAAAATCCAGAAAATCACATTGTATGATTTTTAATTCATTTGCATTTTATTGCATTGACATAAGTATTTGATGCATCAGAAAAGCAGACCTTTTTGGTACAGAAACCTTTGTTGGCAGTTACAGAGATCATACGTTTCCTGTAGTTCTTGACCAGGTTGGCACACACTGCAGCAGGGATTTTGGCCCACTCCTCCATACAGACCTTCTCCAGATCCTTCAGGTTTCGTGGCTGTCGCTGGGCAATACGGACTTTCAGCTCCCTCCAAAGATTTTCTATTGGGTTCAGGTCTGGAGACTGGCTAGGCCACTCCAGGACCTTGAGATGCTTCTTACGGAGCCACTCCTTAGTTGCCCTTGGTGTGTGTTTCGGGACGTTGTCATGCTGGAAGACCCAGCCACGACCCATCTTCAATGCTCTTACTGAAGGAAGGAGGTTGTTGGCCAAGATCTCGCGATACATGGCCCCATCCATCCTCCCCTCAATACTGTGCAGTCGTCCTGTCCCCTTGAATGATGTTTCCACCTCCTTGCTTCACGGTTGGGATGGTGTTCTTAGGGTTGTACTCATCCTTCTTCTTCCTCCAAACACGGCGAGTGGAGTTTAGACCAAAAAGCACTATTTTTGTCTCATCAGACCACATGACACATCTCCCATTCCTCCTCTGGATCATCCAGATGGTCATTGGCAAACTTCAGACGGGCCTGGACATGCGCTGGCTTGAGCAGGGGGACCTTGCGTGCGCAGCAGGATTTTAATCCTTGACGGAGTAGCGTGTCACTAATGTTTTTCTTTGAGACTGTGGTCCCAGCTCTCTTCAGGTCATTGACCAGGTCCTGCCATGTAGTTCTGGGCTGATCCCTCACCTTCCTCATGATCAGTGATGCCCCACGAGGTGAGATCTTGCATGGAGCCCCAGACCGAGTGAGATTGACCGTCATCTTGAACTTCTTCCATTTTCTAATGATTGCGCCAACTGTTGTTGCCTTCTCACCAAGCTGCTTGCCTAATGTCCTGTAGCCCATCCCAGCCTTGTGCAGGTCTACCATTTTACCCCTGATGTCCTTACACAGCTCTCTGGTCTTGGCCATTGTGGAGAGGTTGGAGTCTGTTTGATTGAGTGTTGTGGACAGGTGTCTTTTATACAGGTAACGGGTTCAAACAGGTGCAGTTAATACAGGTAATGAGTGGAGAACAGGGGGGCTTTTTAAAGAGAAACTAACAGGTTTGTGAGAGCAGGAATTATTACTGGTTGGTAGGTGATCAAATACTTATGTCATGCAATAAAATGCAAATGAATTACTTAAAAATCATTCTTTGAAAAAATGTTTCCTGATTTTTGTTTTAGATTTTGTCACTCACAGTTGAAGAGTACCTATGATACAAATTACAGACTTCTACATGCTTTATAAGTGGGAAAGCCTGCAAAATCGGCAGTGTATCAAATACTTGTTCTCCCCACTGTACATATAACGACTAGTATTCCAAGTCGACTAGCAGCAGTATCGTTTAATCAACTATTCGTCTATATTCTCCCACATCCCTAATGTATATTATTTTTTTTTATTTTTTTTGAGAGTGAACTACCCTTTTAAATTAAATGGCTAAAAGCCTTCTTATCATACACAGTGCAAAAGTAATTACTGAGACACCATTTTCACGAAGCATTTTCCATCCAAATGAAAATGCCTTAAAGCAATACTGACTCAGATTCGCCTGCCGTCTCTGGAAAAGTGAATTAGCCACAGTGGCCTGAAAGCCCTTGGTAATGGGTGTAAGAGGCAGCATGCTGCTTACAGATCGATCCTCTATTCTGTCTCTCTGTCTGTGGCTGATCATGTCTGACAGATCACTATAAGATGGTTCCCAGCTTGGAGTTTAGTTTGTATTAGCTGTCTATTGATTCAGGCCCTTCTCTTACCCCAGCCTCTCCATAAGTCCCACCTTTCCAAGAAAGACTACAGTTATACATGTGTGCGTGAAACTCGTACTCTCTTCTTCCAGCTTTTCTACAATCAGCTCCTTCATATAGACACCTAAGGCTGTCAATGACGCATAATGAACATCCTGTTATGGATATTAGATTTTGTTCTTCAACATGCTGGATGATCTGTGGTACTCAATAGTACTCAGTTCAAGCCAACAGTGCAACCTAGTTGCCATCAAAGTTTACTCAAATCCATTGGGCAGATTTCAAATTTAAAAATCGAAATATTTTGATTAATATCAATATTCGTCCTCTCGTCTTTTTATAAGCACTTGAACTGCTCCGTCTGGTTTTATGATTGTTATGCTCAAAACTGAGTGCTGAATCTGATGTTGTGAGTCAAAAACTGACCTCTCTTTAAGCTTTAAGGGCAAGCAGAATAATGTTGAATTTAATAATTGTGTTGATCACCTCTGTTTGCTTGTACAGATATATTGGCATTGCTGCCCTAAAGGCTGTTGCATATATTATATATTCGGATTCTGCACTGTCTGTGTAAACGAATCGGCTATGTATGTCATATACTGTAGATGCATAAAGCATTATTCAAATTGTAATTAGATATGATATAAAATGTTTATATTTTTTGTGTTTTTCAATAGTGTAAATTGCTTGTTTGTACCAAAAATATCATAGAATTACTACTGAGAGGAGAAAGTATGTAAAAGCATGATTTCTGCATGAAAATCTCCTAAAATATGATGTGTATCACTCATTTTGAAAGTCGTACAATAATTTAAGGCAAATCATATCAGTTTGGTTTTAAAAAGTGTTTTTTTCTTTTACAATACGTGTGTATTTAAAGATTAGTTCATTCTAATGTATGCCTTGTTCATAGGCCATTCCATATTGATTGATTCTGTTTGGTTTTGGTGTTAAGTTGGTCTCTAGCAGCACCTAGTGGCAGTAAATGAGTACAAAACTGTGGTCATGTCAGCTCTTAGAAGCTGAGATCAATATACTGTACACATCTCCACATTCACAACTTATTCTGTATGTATACTGACGCTTAAAAAGAAAACATACAACACACAAGGCCATCAAAGTGCCGCAGATCAGAGCAGTCTGAGCATAAAACTCTTCAGTGTGTGTGTGTGAGTATGTTTCATGGCTTTTGTTTAAGTTTGCTCTCGGTGCCCTTAGACGACTCAGCATTGTGAAGCGGTGTCAGTCGGCGGATATTCTATCCTCCCAGCACACGGCCCTGCTCGCCCTCGTCCTCTGCTAATGAAATTATACAATTGATTGTTTTGTGCTGCCAAATGTGGGAGACGTGTTAGAAATGAGTTATTGTGCGAGCGGACAAAAGCGCTGAAATATCAGTAGTTAAGTGGTGCTGGTAATTGAATTCCTCATGAAACTGCTATTGATTAGAACATCCTCTCTCCTGAGAGAGCGAGTATTATCATAATTACACTGCAGGACAACAACAACACACTCACACAGACAGACGTGTACGTGGAGAGATACTAATACATGGCTATAGAGATTCATTATATATATAAATATACTGAAACATTAAAAGACATTTTCGCACAGGTAGAGTTCCAGAACTAATCAAATAATGTTCAGATTTATATGTAGGCCAATATGCAGGATAACGCATGCTTCTAAACTAATTTTCTGCCACATGGATCATAAACGGATGAGGATTTGGAGTCGTGGCTTAGCATTTAGCATGTAGATCTGTGGTGCTCATGTGGGCGATGCAGGTTCAAGCCTGGCTCACCCCATTCCCCCTTTTCTTCTGTTATTTTCTAGTCAATCTCTACAGTAAAGTGTATATTTATCAATTTAAATATATAAATAAAGTTACGTTTAAAATCAAAGATGCATTTAAAAGTTATAAATGATTAAATAGAATGCATAATATAAAAAATACATTTTAAATACGTATGTGAATAATTAAAAAAAAACATTAAATACAATATAAAACTGGTTATAAAAATAAAATATAAATAAAAAAATAAAAAATTGTAATAGTTAAAAAAAATTAAGTATATGAATAATTAAATAACATTAAAATATAATAAAGTTAATAAAATAAATTAAAACGTTAAATAAAATATAAAATAAAACAAAATAAATTAAATTAAAATAAAATATATAATAGTTAAAAATGTGTATGGTGTGTATATTAATAATTAAATAAAATATTACAATATAATAGTTTATAAATTTAAAATATAATAGTTAAATAAAAAGTAAATGTTTAAAGTATATTAATGAATAATTAAAGCATTAAATATATTATAATACAGTATATAAAACGTAAATAAAATATATAGCCTAATAGTTAAATAAAAAAGAAACTTTTAAATAAGTATATGAAAAGTCAAATAAAATATAAAATACAATAAAGTTAAAAAATTATGATATAGGTTATAAATTAAAATGAACTGCATAATAAAGTGAAAAAAATAGTTTTACATTAATTTTAAAAGCAAATTTAAAAATGTAATGGAAAACATTATTATAATATTTATTAGACAACCTTTTTGCTCAATTTATCTTTTCAGACATTTAAAAACAAATTCAAGTAAAAAAAAAAAAAGAGAGAGAGAGAGGAGAGAGAGATATCCATCTTTTAGTCTTTCTTTTGACACGTTCTGTTCACGTTTCACATGTTTTGTGAGTGTGATATTCTCCCCCTGGAGCTGCACATTCACCTGTGAAATCATCACCTCTGTCATCACCAGCTGCTCAACATGTGCTCTGCCTGTCATTCCTCTCATCTCACACCTGACATTCCTTATCCTTGTCGTCTTTCTTCCTTTCCTTCTCATTCCATCCTCAGATTTCTGATTTGTTTCATTGTGTTGGCCCCGGCCCCTGGCCGTGTGTCAGGGGGCCATAGTTCAGTGACATTCAGAGTCACTGTGGAGACCGCAAGGGCAGCCCATGCAAAATGATCCAGCGCGTGCTCATTCGGGACCTCTGCAGCTGGCACCAACACGTCCCCCCGGCCAGCAAACGGAGCACTTGCATTTCCAGCCAATGGAACGAACAACGCTATTACTATTCAGCCAATGGAACATTTCCTGTCCTTTTTAGCCAATGGAACGATCCTAACGCATTTTCGAAACCACTGACTCTTCAAACCAGCAGAGACGCACTCCCCAAACTCAATCCTTGCCCGTCAGTTTTTGGAGAAAACACTTTTTTTTTTTAAGTCTAGAAAGATTTTCCTCGTTAGGCCTTATTGTAAGGATGGTAGGCTACATCATGATAGGGATGCACTGATATTCAAATTCAGGCGAAGATATTCAAGAATATATATTTTTTAAATAAGTATTATATTATATTATGTCATATTATATTTTCATTATGTTATGGTCAATATTATAGACCTAACCTAATTTGTTGGCCTATATCACTAAACTGTTTTTCATGATATGTATTATATATTATATTATTTATTTATGTTTTATTATTGTTTACATTTCTATTTATATAATATTATTTCTACATATATATATATATATATATATATATTTTTTTTAGTTATGGGCAATATTACTGACCTGAACTATAAATACTCTCAAAAAAAGCAATATTTTTATTTACTAATATTATTTTATAATATGGCATAACCTATTTATGTAATGTATTATTATTTATTTTAATGCTAAGTTTGGTATTATGCAAATGATATTGATATTATGCAAAATTATATATTATATTATTTATATTTTATTTTATTCATTTTTGTATTTTTTTTTTTTCCATTTTCATTTTTTGTATTTATATAATATCATTTATATTTTTAATTATGATATAGGTTATATTTAAAACCTATACTAATTTGTCTAAAAAATTATCACACAAAAAATATATTTTTGTGTATATTTGTATTTGATAATATTTAATATATCATATTTATTTTATATTTTGTGGGCCTAGATATAATCAATATATTTAAAGTATAAGTTTGGTATTACAGAAATTGTTCAAGTTTGTCTGTAATAAGTAAACACAATTGGATAATAAATATTAGCTATAAATAATAATAAAAATGATATTTTTATAATATATCATGCATACTACAACTATAATTATTCGTGAACCTGAGATGCACATAAATAATTTTTACATTTCTAATGTTATGTCCAAGTGAAAAACTGTTATTGGAAATTAGTCCAATATTAAATATCCAACAGTGGATATTATTAATATCCTATATATATATATATAAAATACATATATATATATATATATATATATATATATATATATATATATATATATATATATATATATATATATACATACAGATGCCAATTAAAATCTATTGTGCATCCTTGATGGTATAAGAATCTGTGTGTCAGAATAAAAGTGAAGGCATAAAAATCCCCATTAACCAAAGTGTCTTTGCTATTGTTATATTTCCATGTTCAGGAACCAATGTTCATGAGGCGAAGCGTATCCTGTCTGAGAGCGGGCTTCCCATCACCTCTGCCAGTGACCTCGATGATGCGGCCAGGAAAGCTGTTGCTGCCATTGCCAGGAAATAAAATCATACATGCATTCACACATTCTCAAAACAAACATACCATTATTATACATACACCAATAGAGCTGTGGCCTGCATCCCCATGACATAAACAAAACAGCCTTACACACTTCATTCACAGAGAAAACTGCACACAATTCCTGAGAAGAAGCCTCTTCTCTCGCCTGCCTTCTGAACCACAGCTACATACCAGTCTGCCCAGTTTTTCCAGGAACAGAACTGTTTTTGAGATCTTCTTCACAGCCCCTAAAATCCGGCTCTCAATCTAATCCAGCCATTTCTATAGTTAAATAAATAACTCATTCATTGCCTTACTTTAAGCATTTTAATGGAAACTTTCCTTTATTGATTATGAGTATGGATTTATTTTTTCAAGTTAAAATATTAAGATAAAAAATGCTTAATTGCATTCCATATTAATTTGTATCGCCTTAAGTAAACCATGAAACAATGCATGTGGTGGAATAGCCTCGTTTTTATGCAACTGAACTGTGAAATACATCTCGAATCTGATATTGATTTCTTAATCTCCATATGATATCACCGTCCCAGTCTGATTTTTGGTTTGCCTTGTTTATAAGAGTGTGATAAGACTTTTAATGGGTATAAGATTTAAAACTCTAGATTAAGTACTGCCAAATGGTTATTCAACATTAAATGCAATATTGAAGTTATTGAAGTAAGTTTCCTGATTACATGTAAAAAAAAATCAGTGCATTATATTGTATATTCAATAAGATTTTTTTTATTAAACATAAAGTGGTGTGGTTTTTCTACTGTGCCTATCATGAGGATGTTTTACAAGTTAAACACCCATGATGAATATATAAATAGCTTTTTTTAATCCTGAATGTATTTTCAAAGTTAATGTATATCTAAAATGAGTCAACAATAGTGAAAATAAAATATTTCAATGAAAAATTCAACTTTTTTTTCTCTTTTGTTTACTTTTTTGAGAAGAGTTGAAGTTTATTTTTTTTTTAGATTGAGCATTAGAATAATTGTCTGCAAATAAGAGTATCATTAAGAAAAATGTGTTTTTAATCCACTAGCCATAATTACATACAAGAGTGTGTGTTCACTGGCGTTTTCTGAAATCCATGCTTGTCAGCGGGTTGAAACATTTAATGGATTATCTGTCAGGCGATCCGAGAGCACACTCGCACCAGATCAAGTGCCTCGAGCAACAGACCTCGGTCTCACTTTCTCCTCGTCTTCTTACTCTTTTTCATCCGCTCACTTCTCACTCTTCAGTCTCGAAGTCAAATTGATGGCGGGAATGGCGAAACCAACCCACTCGGCCTTACAAAGTGCTGATTTTTGACCCAGTGATGTCTTGACATGGCGTACATATCCACAAAGTTACATGTGAAGGTGAAGTGCGGATTGGTGTAAATCGAGGAGATGGTTCAATAATTGCCTATTTCAAGCTCTTCCTTCAGCGTGTCAAATACGAGTGTGTTGATGGATTACACTGTGGAGTTTGAGTCTTGTTAGAATACGCTCTTGCTGCGTCATTGTATAATTCAGAGGTCATTGAATGTGTGTGTGTGTGTCGGGCAAGGTAAATGTAATGACCAAAATTAGTGCCGCTTTCTTATATAAATATAGATGAGCTGAAAACCGCTAGGATCGTCTTATCGCCAACCCTTGAGATGATACTGACTGTGAAGACAACAGATAATAATAGCTAGCTGCCATATTGTGGTTTGAAAGCTGCTATTCCATATCCTGATCTCATTAAAGAGCCATCTTTCTTTAAACACCCTTGTATTTGTTCAGTTTTGAAAGTATTTCGGTCACTTTTTTTTCCTCCAGAATAGATGTCAAAACGGTAATTGCCACTTTGGGAATCTGTCTTTTGAGTTTAGCGTGAAACTGATCGCCAGCCTCTTCGTAAAAAGCGCAATTTTCTTCCTGGACAGTAAGGTCAAGTCATCCGTTCAGGAATATTGGTTATTTATTGTGTCGTTTAGAGGTAATGCCACAAATTTATTAGTTCATAAACCAGCAATGTGCTTTGTAGATGGCGTGTCGCGGTTGTATTTGGCTTGTCAGACACATGGGCTATTCACTCATTATGTGCTGCCACTTCAGTACGTTATGGTGGGAGTCTAAAATGGACGTCTAGAGCTCTTCTGTATGAGTTTAATACAGAAGTTGCATTGGGTACTTCTCAAGGTCAGGTAGAAGTTTCCAGAAAACTTGCCTGAGGAATAAGTCTGCCAGTTTCCTGACCTCTTGCTGTCCTTGAGCTTTAGGAAGTATCGTCGTCTAAAGGATTGCCTTCTGTCACTGTAAAACTTCACAAAGAGGCTCGTCTTATGGATTTCTGCACGGCATTATTGCGGCGAGCCATAAAAGACAGTGCTGGATATGTTTTACAACAAAGCTGAAGGGAAAATGTTGGCCGAAAGCGCTCTCAGGTGGTTGGTTTTGTTATCTAGTCCGTGCTTTATATTCAGGTCTCATGGTTTGGCCATATAGCACAGATGGGCAGAGAAATCCATTTCCCTCTTATAGAATTGCAGCCTGGGATTCTGTAATTGCAGCACTTTTAGATCGATTTAAATTACTCTTTGTCTCCTTAACAAGGGGTTGAGTTAGTGGAGGATGAAAAAGGAAAAAGTTACTAAAGTGACACACTTGATCCCTTGAATGAAAATTTATTTCACTTTTTGTTTTTGCCTGAAATAATACATCTCACAGTCTTGAATTCTCTATTCCAGCTTTATTTTTGTTCTTCGATGCAATAACTGTGATTATTTCTGATCTTTATTTGTTCCTCATGTATGTGGCATGCCTTCCTCATATCAAAACTTTCACAGTATGTAAATAGTCCTAATCTGTACCTTTTACCTAGATTATTTAGCATTTTATGCTAGAATATTAGGTTGATAGAACTTGTTGTTGGATGAAAAAGGACATCCATGTTGTCTTTATCTATACTCAGTGAGGAAATATCTTTCCATCTCCTTTATAATTTTTGATCTTTTAGTTTGATGAACTCTGAACTATAAATTAATATTGCGAATTAACATTTTACCAATAACGCTTCCAAATGTCACAGTCTGACCTCTTGACCTCGTCAGTGTGAAGCTTCACAATTTGCAGTGTTGCTAGATAGTGGAGTATAGATAATATATTTTATTCATTCATTATTATTCTATTTATTATTATATAAAATATAATGAATAAAATTATATATTATGTACGTAATGATAATATTGATCATATTGTTTTAGGATTAATTGAGGGATTTAAAGTAATTTCTTATGCTTAAAGCATCATGTGACCAAACACACCATATGGACAAAAGTCATCAACGCTCTTCTAATTCCATAACAGAAGAGTTCCAAACTTCCACTGGCATTAATATCAGCACAGAAACACCAGCGGGAGCTTCATGGAATGGGTTGATGTTCAAGCAGACTAATAACAAACACATAAATGCATTACATTACAAGTTTATGTAGGATAATGTTGATTAATTAAATTAAGACAAGGGACATTTTGTAAAACATATCTACAGTAAGTGATCTCTGACGGATCCGTGACCGTCATGTTTCCCGCCGGCAGCCGAACCACATGCTGACGACGGACCGGGCGGACCCGATGAAGGTGCTGTGACAGTGTGCACCAAAGGAACCACACCAGCCCAGAGTCTCACTTGGTTCTTGCTTTGGCATCCCATGTTGAACTCCATCATATCGCCTGGATTATAATCATCCGGTCTAGAGTGAACGCTACTCACTACCGCGTTTTTCGAAGCAGGTGCAGAAGTGAAGTCCCGTCTCTTCACCTGCACAAAACGCACCCAAAAAATAGCACCATCCTTTTTCTTGTTCAGAAACCTTTGGACTCGATGTCCTAACAGGCCATAATTCACAATAATTTACCATGACGATGATAAATTGAAATACAATAACTACCGAAAACACACTGAATCACGGCCACTCCCACTGAATACCAATCTACTCTGCACTGAGCAAACGCAGAGCCCGGTAAACGACTCCCTCTCGTAACGTAATATGACGCGATGTTGAAAAAAAAAAAGCGTTTTTTCAAAGCGGTCAAGGAAACTGACACAATTTTCTACTACATTTGTGCCCTTATGTCTTGCAAAACTATTTTAAAATCCTGCATTAACTTTTCATATGGTATTTTATATAACATACAAGGTTAAAACCTGCAAAATGCCCTTTAATGCTTCAGCATACCAAGACAATTTGGACAATGCTATGCTTCCAACTTTGTGGGACCATTTTGGGGAAGGCCAGCATGACTCTGCCCCATTACACAAAGCAAGGTTAATAAAGACATGGTTGGATGAGTTTGGTGACTGGCCCGGACAGATCCCTGACCTCAACCCCATCAAATACCTTTGGGATGAACTGGAACGGAGATTGCAAGCCAGGCCTTCTCGTCCTACATCAGTGCCTGAACTCACAAATGCTCTACTGGATGAATGGGCAAATATTCCCACAGAAACACTCCAAGTCTTGAAGAAAGCCTTCCCAGAAGAGTGGAAGCTGTTATAGATGCAAAGGGAGGACCAACTCCATTTTAATGTTTATGTATTTAGAATGCAGTGACCGTCTTTGTTGGTGTAATGGTCAGGTGTCTCAATAGTTTTGTCCATATAGTGTAAAAGCAGCATCACAATGCCAATCTGTTACCGTATTAAACATTCTGTAACACTTTAGTTTAAGATCCAATTCTCACTATTAACTAGTTGCTTATTAGCATGCATATTACTTGGATATTGGCTGTTTAGTAGTACTTACAAAACTTATATTAATGCATGATCATATACCCTTAATCTCACCCAATACCTAAACAAAACAACTGCCTTACTAACTATTAATAAGCAGTAATTAGGAGTTTATTGATGCAACAGTTGTAGTTAATAGTGAGAATTGGACTCGGTTCTAAAGTGTGACCAAACATTCAAATGTCACTATAATGCCATATTCATCTTATGAAGGATTCTATTAGTTTACCCAAGGCTAAACTTCTTGGGGAAGTACATTGAGGCTTTACTAACATCTCCTCCCACGCTTGTCATGTGTCCTCTCTTTTATCTGTCCATGTCTTACAGAGTTAGAGTCAGCCTTTTCAGCCACTCC